AACAGCAAGGGCCGTCCATAATACGTGCGGCCAATTTTACTTAGAGATCTGATGGCTCTGGTGAACTGGACGGCCTGAGATGAGTACTGACGTAAAGTTTGATTGCTGGTTGACTTGAAATGGAGAGAGTGCATAAGCGTTACAGGCTCAAGCTGCAGTGAACACCATGCATTGTTGAGTTCAGACTTTGGAACAGTGATGTACTGCGATGAGGCTGGTGAGAAAATGCAAAATGATCTTGACAATCAAATTTTCCATTTAAATACTTTCATTGGCACATCACATCGAAACTGACATACTTTTGGTCAAATTCCCTGTACAAAGTTAACTTGAACATAGAGTGCTAAAACTGAAATATTTTAATTGACGTAATGCCAAATCAAAACTGACAAAGTAAACTTTCAACCTGATTATGTTTTATATAACATGAAACTAATCACATGATGATTGTGATCCCTTTTGATTTTTAAACATGTGGCTTTTTTGGGGTTTTATTTGTTTTCTCTCGAAATTTGATTATTTTATCAATAAAGTTGCCTCAAAACTGATACCTTGTTATTTACATAGATAAATTCACATGTTAGCATTCAGATAAATATTTAAAGTACAGCTTCCGGTAGGCCTTTCACTTTGCACTTCTGTATTGTGCAAGTTCATGAAATAAGTTGGTCAACAATTTAACCAAATTGGGATCACTGATCAATAAAGTCTGTTTTCATTAAATATTGTAGAACCCCTCTGTTCGTGGCCCCTTGTGGAGGTAGCCTTATGCAACAATTTTTGATTAACAGCTCAGGTCACCAGCTAAGCCTCCATTCATTGATTCTAGTTAGACACACCCACCACAGACCACAAACTGACTCTTGAGAATTGCCAGTCCACAGTCTACTATAAGGGTGGCCCCCAATGGCATACTTCCACTACCTTGAGACTCAAACCACCTGTACCAATGGATGGAGAATCTTCTTAGACGAAATATGATACAATGATCTCCTGATTCGGTCCAGTAGTTTTTGCTGCAGATCCAAAACTGTGAAGCACACATCTTTCATGGGGGTATTATTATACAAATATTGAGTGGCTCAGCGTGGAATGGGAGGAATATTATCACAAGGTAATATCTGGACTTTTCTGTTTCAGGAGGCAAAGCTGCGTGAAATGGAAAAGTCCAGATTTTACCGAGCGATGATATTCCTCCCACTTCACAATTTCTCCAAATTTCAAGTTCCTAAGTAAAGTATTTCTCAAGTTATCGTGCTGACAAGAGTTAACCTAACCAAAACATAACACACACACAGACATACATGTTTGTGTATTGGTGTAAATCGAGACTTTTCTTATGTTCCTCTTCCCAAAAGTGTGACTAAAAAGACATTGAAGAAAAACTTCGGGCCCTAGAAAAATATTGGACCACTTTCAAGGCATTCTACAAATCTCGCAACAGTTGTAATTATTTAACCCCAAGTCATGAAGACTGCCAACTCTGCATCCAAGACCAAGAGCTGTACTTCCAAGGCCAAGAATTTTACTTTTTAGACGGATACCTTGAAATCCTTTACACCAACACAGAGACCAAAACCAAAAAATGAAGACCTACATGTATATTAACTGATTGCAGTTAGACTTTAATTAACCCTAATGTCCCAAGGGCTCTTTCGGGGGTCAAGGACCAAAAATACCACAGAATACTATATGAGTTGAACACACTTGTATGGAAAGAAATGCATACTACAGGTTACTACTCAGTAGTATTTTGTAGCTTTAGTTGAGGTAAGGGTTCATGGATGTACGATTGTTGCTCAAGCCCATAAAGTATCACATTAACCCTCTTATGCAAACATACATTCTGTGCCAAGTTGTCCTTTCAGTCAAAATCAATCAAGTGACTGTTTACAACAGTCAAGAGCTCGCAGCCTAAACAAAGCAGGATTGACTGGCTGTGACTGCTTATATAACATGGTACAGCTATGCTTTGATTGTAGCTAATTGATAAGCCAGTTGTGCCTACCACTTGTCTGCTTTTGTCTACTGTCTGAATTTGACTGGCACAGTGCTTGCTTGAAATACGATATGACTGTAGGTGGCTAGCCTGTGTAAAAGGCACAGGAGAAGTGGATTCATTTTTGTTGACTGCTTGTGACTATTTAGACAGCAGGAGGGTTAATGGATGTATGATCATCGCGCATAAAGTATCACAATGAATACAATTAGACTGCAGTTGCACTAGCAACTGTGTCGAACTACAATGTATGACTAATACAAAATGCATTACCATGTGAAATTAATGGCTACTTATTGAGGTCATCACATTAGTTTTTATCCAGCTGAAGCTTCCAAATTCTCCTACAGGGCGAGTAAAAACAACTGCAATAATGCAAAAGAGCCAATGTTTTTTTTCCAAAGTGAAACTAACTTGAAGTTTTGAACTTTTTTAACCTAGTAAGAATGACATGTTCATTAGTAACCATTTGTGGAAAAATGAAGTTAATCGCATTTACCTTATGCCTTTGGTGAACCTTTTTACTGCGGTACCCGATTTACGTTTTTGTCTACGAGGCATCAGAATTTTTTGGAATCATAAGGCCTACATCAAAATAAGAATTTTTGAATAATCAAAACCCGGAAAGATGTTTTTTTCAATCAAAAGATGATGGGGACGTCCCGTTTGATTTCTAAACCAGGAACCAGAAGCTTCTTTATTGGGAGCTCTTAAAGTTGGTTTTCTCACAAAATTTGCTTTTAAAACCGATAGCATGTTGGGAAAAAAACTTTCACTATTAAAAATAGTTACTCGATCTCCTAAACAAGGGGAACTTGTCAATGCAGCTGGGCCTGCTAAAGGAGTGCTTCACTTTCGTATGGTGTGAAAGTTGATTGACTTTAAAGGGAATATACATCATTTGCTTTTGCTGTAATTTTCAGAAATGAATGGATTTGGGGGTTTGGAAATATATAGCAAATGTAGTTACACTGATTTTTTTAGGTTTTGGGGCTCGAAAATGCTATAAAAACCCAGAAAAACAATCATTTTCCTGTAGTCTGGTTCCCTGACTAACTCCATTTAAGAAGAAACAGAGTAGTTTACATATATTGGGGAATTGTAAGGTCAGGGAACCAGTCTAGCTGGCTTGTACCCGTTCATAGGTGTGTAATCGATTGCAAACAAGTGTGATGGTCAAATGGGGCCAGTATTTGAAGAAAAGCCAGTTTTTTTCCAACGCTGATCGGCCGATCAGCGTTGAAAATTGATACAAAAATACCACTTTTCTTGAAAATGACAGTATACCAGGTGCCATGATTTTACAGGATGCTTTACACTGTCATTCACTAACAGTCCAGCAAGGTATTTCAAAATGATTTGGTAGTTTTATTTTTTGATGTTTGCAAATGTTGTATTTTCCCTTTAATTGGTTGTACATGTATCATTTCAAGTCATTAAACTCTCCTGTGACTGAACCAAAAATTTTGATTATTGACCGCAAAGGTATTTATGAATGGGAATAAATATGTACTTGACCGGTATTAAACACTATAAGACCAATTGGAGTCTGTAGGCTGATAATGACCCGAATGCCAACATCCAGACTCCAACTGGTCTGGAGTATTTAAAACCGGCCAACAAAAATCTTTTAATTAATGAAAATGTCACAGAAAGACTTTCATGGAGATCTAATTATATTACTAGCATTCATGGCATTACAAATGCAATTAATTCAGGGGGAACCCATAGAAAACAAGGATTGTATAAAACAAGAACAAGTCCCAAAGTGGAATGACAAAGGAAACGGCATAGAAGTTACAGTAAGTTTAATAGCATTACAATCTTTGTACAAATGTAATACAATTGTTTTCAATTTACATGGAAACAACAGTCAGTAATATCTGTCTATGCTGGTAGTTCTATGTACAGTGTCATTTACAGACATGTGACAATCAAAAGAGTGTTTAGACTTAATTTATTTACATTGGAAATCTGTTGATTTGTGGAAATCAAAAATGCAGTGGTAGAAGGAGTTCAGTTATTTCTTTAAAACAAAGTAAGCCATGCCTCCCCCAATACAAAACTGACATCAGCGAATACCAGTGATTCTCATTTGTGTTTCTCAATGATAAATAAATTTCTATTCAGCTTTTGGAATTTCAAGAAACTTTTGGAAGGAGGATTCAGTGCTGAAACTAATCCTCCAGGTTTGGTTCGGTTCGGTTCATATCGGATTTTTTTTCCTCGAACATCGGTTCGGATCGGAAGTACATGTACAATGTACATTGAAAATCATATATACATACATATGTACATGTACGTTTGCCCGATCGAGCTGTAAGTTGGCTTTTGACAAGTCACTATTTCGCTCAAGTCGGCATGTTACTCTCGGTACTTTACAAAAAGCGCAACGAAATCCTTTGTGTAAATCGGCATTTAGAAAATCACGCACTGGCATCGACTTCTTGCAATACGGTTGCGGTAACAAAATACATGAACATGTGCCACAACAGCGCGTGTTATCAAAAAGAGGTTTCCCGAATACTAGCAATAATACTGCATTGTGAGTAACACCAGTAACCCCTCTTGCCTGCACGAATGTGCTCTGTCTATTTTGGGGGTCGCTTATCAAAGGACGCAGTGATGTTACTTTACCACACGCGACAGGCATGCATTATGTACACATGGTCTACACTATAGCAATGCTACATTGTACCGATTATGCACACCGAAGACGGACAATCGCGAAGTTTAGCCCACCAAACAATGAAGATGAATATAGTGACTTGTTAACACTGAGAATTCAATCATCCATGCATTTCAATTTTAGCATTTCTAGCACTTTCAGAAAATAGAAATTTCCCAAACTTCTAAACCGACAATTTCGGTTCAGTTCAGTTCGATTCGGAATGCCATGTTTGGCTTTTTTTAGTTCGATTTGAGGTTTGACTGCAGCACTATGAGGATAACTTTATTTTTTTTTCTTTTCTCTCTAGGAGGGGAGTTTAGCCTTTGGATCCTATAATCTGATCCGATCAGCAGGATCTGCTCTTGGTAATGTCTGCAGAGGGATATTGTTCGTTGGTACTTGCTGCCTTTTTCTGCAGCAGAAGGCTTGCTTAAAGGCCTTCCTGTACCTTCCACTACCAGCATTGAACAGGACTGAATTAATGGAAGAGTTCAAGACTCTGAGGCAAGCAATTATCAGATCCAACTTCCATTTCACATCTTCATTTACATTCACTTCTTCGCTGCTTTGCCTTAAAATTCCAACTAAGCCAGCTATAGCTTGGGGCAGAAAACAGACAAATACCACGGCTGTGTTGATGCCAAGTATCAGAGTAACTCTTCGTAGATGTTTTGACGGACCTCGGATCTGATCACCAGTTGGATTTGGTGCATGCAGTCCCTTAATAAGGAGCATATTGAAAGTGACTGTGAGGATCAAACTCAACATGAATACACAGCAAATCACGTACCTTAAAATCAGATTCAAAGGAAGCAAAGTTACATCATAAGTCACAAGCATCTGCACATTACTTGATAGATGTTTATACTTTTCTTCAGTTGGCCAAACAAGACATTTGATTGGTGGTGCATTTAAGGCCAGAATCCGATAAAAGAAATCACTCAAATTCATGGAAAAAGACAGTACCCATATGCAAACTGCTGCTCGTATTGACCGTCGCTTCAGATTGAGATTACGGTGTTGGAAAGGGTAACAAATGGCAAAATATCTATCATAAGACAGCAGTGTTACAAAGGCGATAGATGAAATAACACCCACATAGCATGTGAACGATAAGAGAGTAAAAACTGCTTGGGCTGAGTTCCCCAAATATGATATATCCAATTTAGTTTGTGTTGTCAAAGCCACACATTGCTCATGGGTGGTCTCTGAAATCAAGACCATCAAATCTGCAACAGCCAAATTAGTCAGATAGAAATTAGTGATATTCCGCATGGAGGGAACTCTGCAAAGGGTAAAGAAAAAAGACAGAATGGATAGGATCCCTAATAGTTTGAGGACAGGCAGGACAAAACCATACAACACAGTCCGAGTACTGAAATACACAAACTGGTCAGCCTCTGCCAGATTCTCAAAAGCAACGATTTGCAATGAGTGGTTGAACAGTTCGTATCTTTCATTGTTTGGTACATCAAAGGATTCGTTCATCGGTGCCCAGGGAGATGGTCCCGTTTCATCCCAGATCAGAAGATGATCCATCTGGGGTAGGGAATAGGCCACGGAGCAGTTGTCGCTGTGGTTCTGGAAGACACAGGTGAAGAAGGTACAGACCAGAATGTCCAGCTGTGCAAGGGATGTTGTAGCTTGGGCATAGACGGTGACATTTGCAGGGTACGACCACATGATTGACACAGAGTCTTCCTGCTGATGTATATTTTACGCAGTGTCAACAACAGTAGATGTGATTGTTCTGTGTCCTGTACAGATAATGGTATGATGGGTAGAGAAACACAGCAGAAATTTGCTCACACTGAATGGAGGGCTGAAGAAAAGCGTGATTCCCAGATGATGACAAAATCAAGCAAGACAAGTTTGACTGGTGAGAATAACTGCAGGTCTGTTCAGCAGCAACGCAGTTGCAAAAATAACAAACTCTCCCTCTCTCGTATGCAGCGCTGAATCAAAAGTCAAGGTACATGTAGCTGAATCAAACGTCAAGGTCCATGTACGACAGCCACCGTGTCGTGATTGGGTCACAGCTGGCCAGACGTACGATGCCACCTTCCAGTTTTCTGATTGGGCACTCGTTGAAAGTCTGCCTCTCAAATAGTACACAGGAAACAAAGATTTGAACAAGTTCACGAAGGACAATCTGAAATAGCAGTTGCTGTTCCACTTGGGTACAGTTTCCAACCAACAGCTGTTTGAAGCCAGTGTTCTCTGTATTTCACCACTTCAACTTTAATAGGAAAAGAAGATTTGACTCTGCACTCAACTATCTGTCCCGTGTGTCCTCATAAGTCAAGTGGCAGCACGTGTTACCAAGTTTGATTGCTGGTTTAGTTGAAATTGAGAAAGTGTATAAGCATCAGTGTTTGAGGCTCAATGTCGATTGTACACATGATACTTTGTTAATGGCGACTTACTGTGATGTGGCTGCTAAGACAATGCAAAATGATCTTCACGAGAACGCAAAATGATCTTCAAGAGCAGGTGTTCTACTTAAATACTTTCATAAATGGATCACATCGAAACTGACACGCTTGTGGCCACTTTCACCCTGACAAAATGACCTTGAAGATACAGTGCTCTGGTTAAAAACTTCAAACTACGAAACACCACATCAAAACTGAAAACGCAACTCTCAAAATCACATGATGGGTTGTATCCTATTTTTGGTATTCAAGCTCGCAGCTTCCTTGTTTTGTTCCTTTCTTCCAAAGCCAATAGAACACGACACTTACACAAAATACAAGTCTTCTTAAATATAAGAAAGTATTGAAGGTACACCAAGGGCAAAGCCTGCTGAATTGAAAGGGAGTATGTTTTTCATTCTGTGAAAACCATGGTAAAGGCAGCAAAAGATCGGTTCCTATCCCAAGTTACATGCACATTATGACAAATTTGGTGCTTTGCATTTCAGGGCCGTAGCCAACCCATGTAGGGGTTAAAGCTACAGTCCATCATTTGCAGCTACCCAAAACGTAACTGACGTAATTATTGTTGAAAAACATAATTGGTTTAAATAGTAAGGGGACTAAACTCCCTGTGAAATTATTCCTTCTGGCATGCTGTCATTTTGAAGAAATCAGTGAAAGAAGCAGTCCTTCATTTTGAAGGAGCGCGATCGCGCAGGCGCTCCTACAGGAAGGGGAGTGTCGTTTTTCACCATAAAGTGGACCTATTCATGTGTAACAAATATAGATTGGCATGGAAATACACAATTGCGAAGAAACGGTGGACCTCCGGCAGTTTTTTGTGGGGGGAGGGGGTCGTTCAACCCCCGACCCCCTGGCCATGGGCCTGCATTTAAAGAACATACATGTAAGCTTTTGGAGGGAGGTGAAGTTCTTTTAGGTAGAGTACATCATTGTCCTTTGTGCAATTTTTTTTGTTCGAAGCAACAAAAGTGCTCAAAATCTAAAGAAGGGTGCTTAACAACTAACCTGATGAAGTTTCAGTTCAACGAATGCTGTATGTTCCGTATTCTAAAACAATATTCTAGGATCTTGATTTCAATTCAAAAGTTGCCGAGTCAAGTTTTGAATTGTGCCCGAAATCAGCATCCGGGACACTTTCTCATTCAGCCGATTGCAGCTCGCTATCAAGGTTCATGACATACATTAAGTCCAACCAAAAATAAAGATGCAAGCACGCACACATGCAGTGGTATTCACACCGTTGATCGTGGACTTCCAATTGACCCTCTTTTGTTTGTACTTTAACTTTTTAGGATGACTCCCATATATTTTGTACATGACCCCAATCGCAGACGTATGCTTGGAATCGCGGACGATATTGTTCTCTTTTGTTCTCCAGCATTTTTCGTCCATGGTTTGAGCCTGAACACGCCCACAAATGCATGCACGTTTGTTTATGGTGTAAACCATGGATTTTTTCTGTTGTTCCTCTTCCCTTTTCCTTTGTTTATACTCTTTAACTTTTTTGCAACAGCTCTCATTGGTTTTGTACACATTTTCTAATCAAGGTCGTCCTCAATTTGGTTCCTGTCCTCAATTCATCGATGATGTGTCCTCAATTTACACCATAAACACGCACATGTAGTTGTGTTTTCCATAACTCCCGAGGACAAGCCATTGTCTTTTTCTTTGTCCCTGTAATATAACGCTCTCCCATAGAATAGGCACATAAACGCACGATCAAGGACCGTTTTAAACAAAAGATGAACGATCGTGGTCAATAAAGAATCTGTTGTTCTCCCTCTGTCTGTCTGTTCTACAGGTGTATGTAGTGTACGCCCACAGGACTGACAAGACGGAAACAGTGTGTCCCTTCGGCTTCGCTGGCGGGGTACAAAAAAGATGGCTCCTTTGCATAAGTGTAAAACTAATATTCCTGCGGGAGTTTGTTTGTTCCCATGTGGACCATTTTCCTTGCTATGGAAAAGAATGAAAGGCTTACCTGAGGGCCTCCGAATAGTTTGGAGTGATCAAAGAACGGAGTCGAGTCACTTGGCCTTGGCTGAAATAAAAGAAGATTTTCAATCAGGCAGGCATGCAGCCGGGAAGTCACAAAAAAAGAGGAAATTCAAATCTTTCCCAGACTTTGTACAGTGTTTTTCTATTTTCAATGGCACACATTGGAAGTAAAAAAAAAGAGGAAATCAGCTAATCCGAGGAAAAGTTGCATGCCTGATCAGGGGAGGTGCCTAGTTGGCTTGTTACTCTCACAATATACAGAATTTTATCGTATGGATTCTGTTCACAGTACCCCCTCAACGGTTGCAAACGGAGAGTTTGGGGGACCATTGGAGCACGGATCCTACACATAAGGATTAACGACTTGCCCCAACTCTGCGTGATAACAGCCCGTACTGGTGGCAAATACCATGGAAACTTGTCAACAAAGACCCCTGCGCGTGGCGGCTTTCAGATTTGCAGGGCTCTGCGCATGATCTGATGTCGAAGTCTGTCAAGCCAGCTAATTATATTTTTGAATATTCATGATCCAAAGTTTTTGGCCTTCATTATTGAATTCTGATACGTGATAACTACATAACCATGTTAACATGGTTAAAACCGAGCACAATATCTTTACCTTTAAAATGAACTATGAAATGTTGTATTTGTTTTATCCGTTTGGACCCCTATCTCTCTAAAACTTTTTAATGAAAGCCTAATTCAAAACGAAATTTGGGTTAACGGTGTTCTCGGGAAAAGGTGTCACATTTGATGGGTAAACAATTCATCTATGAAACAAAAACTGCACAATACCATCTGTTATATCCTGACATATTTATTTTTTTAACAATTTTGGAACAAGCATATCTTACATAAGGAGTGGTTTTGCTTACAGTTTAATGAATATTTCCGTTTAAGATGTCATGCAAAAAAAAAAAAAAAACAGGACAAAATGGCACACCCAGAACATTTGCCATTAACATGCGAACGGGTATTAATGCCTGTTATCACGAGTCCAACCTATTTTTTTTGGCCTAAGTTTGTACTTAGGCCAAAAAAAAAGTCTCTGGCTTCTGGTATGGAGCTTGCCCAAAAAGTGGTGCGGCGTCGCGGCTTTTGAATTTTTTTTACTTTTTTTGTGTCAAATGTTGGCTGATGACTGCAAATGGTGCCCAACTAAACTTAGTGCAAATATATGGGAGTACAGAGAGGCCACATAAAGCTTATTCTCGATCGTAACCCCATCTAGAAACACGTTAAAATTGTGCAGCAGCAGGATTCCAGTGAAACCAGTGAGTTTCGCGGTTTTGAGACATCATCTTTCATTGAAAAAACCTTTTTCATGTTGCCGACGTGCATGGCTAAGGCAACGTGCGTGCATACCAGAAACCGGAGACTTTTTTTGGTCGCCTTAGAGCTCAGAACAGTCGTTCTTCCTTTTGTGTAGGATCCGTGATTGGAATGAAATTCTATTGCATCACCGTTGGCACACGACACCCAAGCCAAGAAACATTGGCTTTGCGCACATTCACAACATAAGATCAGTCGTGCGTATTTCACGCCGTATGGCGGTGAGTCCTGTCCATTGGGCTCTCGGAAGTGGTCAAAAAGCGGTCACTTGTTCCCGCAGAAAGTGCAATTGACCGGCCTCGATTGACTGGCCGTGAGGAATACGTAAACCACGCTGACCGGCTATTCAGAGCGTACGCATTTCGAAGACTGCACTCCCTAAGGCGCTCACGCATTATCTCCTGCGTGTCACGTCACGTACGAACATTTTATTTCAAAACTGCAAGATGACTGAACGATATGGATTTTGGATGCATCATTTCCCAAACCCCCCCCCCCCCCCAAAAAAAACCCTGTAACTTGTGTTGTAAACAGACGACAGAGGTACGAGATAAATACGAGGTAAAAGATAAATCCTTGCTTAATACCCCGTCATCCAAATCTCATGTTTGGAAGGATTGATTCTACCAAAAAAAAACTTTCACAATTTTAAGCACCACGCTGCAAGTTAGATACATTGACTGCAGTCCTAATTTAAGCGTGCCACTATGTGGCACATTTATATTACATAATTCCAGGGGTCAAGATCGCGCAAGGCATGATGGGAAACCATCATGGTACCCATGGAAACGAGGTTGGCAATTGACTGCTCCTGCGCAGGGCCCGTGTCGAGTACTACCACTTACCGAGGCGCTGAATATCCTGCTAGGATCAAAGAACTGGGCCCGGGGCTGAGGCTGGGGTTGAGGCTGGGGCCTGGCCTGAGGTCTTGTGGGGAAGTATCGCGCCTGAGTCTGGTTACCAGATGCAAAGTGGGGACCAGGAAAGCGTTGGCTCGGCATCTGCATAACAAAGATAATAAATAGGAATCTGGTCTATAAGGTATTGCCCTTTGTCGACGTATTTTACAAACACTGTATACTCAGCCGAGTCTGATGTAGCAGGGGGTACTGCAATATAATTGGAAAATCACGCCGAAATAATTTTTTCTTCTTTGTAACAGGAAGATGAACTGGTGATTAATGAATGGAAGTATTTAGAACTTGATGAAATTTTCACTTTCTGTGAAATTTTAGTTAAAACTTTTGCTATAGGTAGGCGCTACAGGTGAAAAATCAAAGTCTGCCACGTTGGGGGCCGCGCCAAGTAAGGGTACATCAATAACACATTGCGTTTGTTTGTTGATCAATAGATTGAAACTATTGAGAGCTCGGGCAGTTTCAGGCTACAGGTATTAATGGGCTTGGTGGTTCAAGGCGATAAATTGACTCATGGGTTTAAAAGGGCACACAATCTAATGGGTGAAACTGACATTATTTAAAGCTATAGTCCATCATTTGCAGCCATCCAAAAAGTAACAGGCGTAATTTTTGTTGAAAAACATACTTGGTTGAAAGATAGTAAGAAGACTTAACTCCCTGTGAAATTATTCTTTCTGGCAAGCTGTCATTTTGAAGTTATCAACGAAAGAAGACGCACCGTAGGAAAATTTAAATTAGTAGTTTGTTTTGTTACAACGCACAGGCGTGCGCGGTTACTATAATTCTTCGGACTAGTGCGCGACATCGAGTATAGCTGCAATTCAAAACAATTCAAACATGATTCAGCAACTTTTGATTTGAAACTGAGATCCTAGAATGCTGTTTTTCTCGGAATATACAGCTGAAGCTGAGCTGAAACTTCATCAGATAGTTGTTCAGTATCCTTCAAACGAACAAAATGCACAAATTACAAATGATGGACTATATCTTTAAAGACTTAAGATGTTTCATCCAAAAAGAATTCATCATTTCTTATTCAAATTTTGGTCCAGCACTTCTTACATTCCTTGCCTGTTGCTGGAACTGTTGTTGCTGCTGCTGTTGCTGCTGCTTCTGCTGCACTTTAACATGTTGTTCCCAAGCAAGGGCTACGTCGCTCAGCAAGCCTCGTTTCTCAGCCATCTGCTGATTGGTCAGCGGCACCAGCTCCACCGGCCTGCTTCCCCGCCGGTCCTTTCTGGTCGGGTCGACCCCGTACTTCCGGAGGACGTCCACGACCGATTTGGCGTGGGCAGCGGGGCCGGATTTCTTGGCAACCAGATGGAAGAGCGAGTCCCCAAATCTGTCGGGCAGGTTCCTTCGTTCGCTCGTTTTGTAAAGGTGAATGAAGAGGTACTCCAACAGGCCCACCCATCCTGAGCAAAAAAATCCACACGAGATTTAGCAACAGTCGAATAATAACTAGATTTATATAGCGCCAAATTACCAAAGGATGCAAGGTGCTTGAAGGGAACAATAAATGAATAAGGAAAACCAGCTACTGTTTGGAGAAGAGGTGGGTCTTGAGTCCTTTCTTGAAGGATAAAACAGAATCAGTGTTTCTGATGGAGACAGGCAGAGCATTCCATAAACGGGAGGCAGCACTAGAAAATGCCCTGTCACCAGACTTTTTGCGAGACATGTCAACCACCAGGGATATGGCATCAAAACTACGAAGGGAGTATGAACATTCATGGATTGTAAGGAGAGAAGATAGATAATCAGGAGCACTGTGATTTAGTGAATTGTAAGCATGGACTAGTGTGCGGAATTCAATGCATTGAGCCACTGGGAGCCAGTGAAGTTGTCCGAGAAGTGGTGAGGTGTGGGAGTGTTTTGACATCTGAAAGATTAGCCTAGCACATCTGTTCTGGAGTCTTTGGAGGCGAGATATGTATTCCGTGGATACACCATTCAGCAAACAGCACCTGTAGTCAAGCTTGGACAGAATCAGAGCACGGACTGCATTGTGGCAGGCACTGAAATCAAGAAATCTTTTGATACAACTGAGTCTAACATGAGAGATATGGATGTAATTTTGAAGCGTTGCGTTCATGAGGGACTTTTGCACCACCAATGGAAGAGGCTAAGGCTTTATTGAAACCCCGGCTTCATATCTAACTTAAGCAAAAGCTGCTTTCAAGTCTAGATTTGAGAACTGGAGTGGTGTGCATTTACACACAGTACAGGAACCAGGTACCCTATTAAAGTAAAATACGGGTACCGGGGTACTCAAAGAAGAAACTCAACCCCCAAAATTCAAATCTATTTTTCCATCAATGCACAGTATGAGGGAAAATTTCAAATCTAAGGTATTTCAATAATGTCCATGTTATTTTTGTGCAACATGAGTTACAAACAAAAAAGTTTTTATCAGAAGTTAATTTTGTTGCCCCTTTCTTATTGCAGTTTGGTTACTTAATTTCAAGGGATCTTCTGTGAGGAAAAATCCACCCACAATACTTGGACTATATACAGAATAAGAGCACAGAGTTGACAGAAGAGTTACCATGGAATTGCCCTCAAGATGATCAACCATCATTTCAGAAACACGCCCATTGACAGTTTTCATCTTTATTTTTGGGGTACTGTTTTTAACAGGCCTCCTACGTGTACGTACCAGTTCTCAGGGCATTCTCCACAGCACAGTGCAAGGGGGTGTCCCCTTCCTTCTGGCTAAGCCCTACCACCTTGGAGCCATGTTTGAGCAGCTCCACTACCAACTGCATGCTCCAACTGTCGTATTCCCTGCCGGACAGATCACTGCAAATATGCGAATGTACGAAGAGTTCATTTCCCAAACGCGGTATAAGCCATTTTGTTTCCTTTTTAGAATTGCACTCTCTGCTGGTTGTCCAAAGTCAATTTCCGCGTCTGCTAAACAGGGTGTCCAAAAAAAGAAAAAACAACAAAAACAACAACAACAAGAACAAGAACAACAAGAACAAGAACAAAAAACAACAAAAAACAACAAGAACAACAAGAACAACAAGGAAAACAAGGACAACAAGGACCACAAGAACAACAAGAACAAGAACAAGAACAACAACAACAAGAACAAGAACAAGAACAACAAGAACAAGAACAACAAGAACAACAAAAACAACAAGAACAAGAACAAGAACAACAAGAACAACAAGAACAAGAACAACAAGAACAAGAACAAGAACAACAAGAACAAGAAGAACAAGAACAAGAACAAGAACAAGAACAACAAGAACAACAAGAACAAGAACAAGAACAACTAGAACTATGTGGTTGTGAGTGAACAACCACAGAGCTGTTCCTAACATGTTTTTGATTGTCTATTGCACAGTACAAAATGATTCAATGATTTGTTCTAAACAAATTTTACTATTAAATTGAAATTATAATATGAATCGGTGATGGTCTTGTTCGGGACACATTTTCCGAAGAGAAGCTGGTTGGGTTCTGAAAACATAAAATTGGAAATATATTTTTGGGAACAGGTCTGTTTGTACGAGATATAGACATAGAAGTAGAGATCTATGTCTGTTTGCAACAAAAGATAGGGCTTTTCCGCATTATGATTGGTTTTTATCAATAATACGTCCCTGACTATGCATGAACATAAAATCTGTCAAAGCTAGCCAGAAATCAGCTAAAACGGTCACTGTGGACAGGATTTGACCTCAGCAACACGTACGCTGCGCGCGGGCTGACTGACATACGATATGTACAACGTACGTGCATGTACATGTACAGGTACATTGTGGACGTCCTGTGCATGTTTTCAAGCAGAGGTATTGTCAACCTGAAGTTTGAAGCGTGCGCAGGGCATGTCCGAGTTTGCTTATTGCCTCGAAGCTTTGAACTGTTTTAGACCTACCCTTCAATAGACAATTAAAGTAAAAACTAATATAAAAACTGCCATGGTTGATTTTTCAGGAATTTTCTAGGGAGAAAGGGTCTTTTCATTATAACTTCCGGTCTGATGACGTCATACACCTAAAACTTCGCACACGTCTTAAGTGGGTCAAGGTCATCATATACACCAATATTTAGGCAATTCCGACAAACTTCGCTACAGACATCTATTCAAAATACATTTTTGCAAATTTTCAACCTGTCGCTAGAGGGCGCTCGAAGATTGCATGACGTCATCGGTAAATGATTTGAAGAATACTATCAGCCAAGAGACTAACACCGTTAAAAGCAAGTTCATATGTATTACCACTTTTAAATAAAAAGCCACTTCCGGTTTTGGCCTTTTTCGACCGGAAGCAAGGGTCACGTGATTTCACGCACACTGAATGAAATAAAGACCTCAACCTACTCTACCACTTGCCGGCAACAAAATGCTGCGGACGCGTACGGTTGATTTCTTATGCATTTTTAAATATTAAAAGTGTCACAATTTAATTGCCTATAAATAAACACCGGATGACGTCATCATGACGTCATCATTACACAATGTTGTTTGAATTAGGGTCTTTGCTTGGACAAAGATTGGTGTAAATGAATTACTGGCAAAGAGTCGAAAATGCCCTCTGAAAATTGACATTTTTAAAAACAATTCTGTGTACAAAGTCTATGGGAAAAATTAAATATTCAAAATTCTATAATAAATCACGTGATGACGTCAGCATGACGAAAAGTTTCGGCACACATCCTCAGATGATGATTAATAACTATGCTGAGTTTAAAGTTGATCGGATTTAAAATAATTGCCAAAGTGGCTTGTAGAATAAAAACGTGTACAAAACCTATGGGGAAAAGCGGAAAAAGAAAAAAAAAAAAAACTAGAAATGTGTTTGTGGACAAACACTGAGCTGTTTCGACCGTTTTATTAATGACTGCCGTAAAGGAGTTTCATCCAGGTCGAATGAACATGTACAAGCGTATTCTATACAAAAAGTGTCCATCCTATGTAAAATTATAATATTTTTCATGACGTCAGGATGACGGCACACATTTTAAAAACTTTTCTGTAACTATCTACGACCTAACAAACTTTTTTGCAAACATTTTTTTTCGAATTAACCACGTTCCATTGGTGAGATATGAGTAAAAGGTCCAAAAATTGAATAATTCATATGAAATCACATGATGACGTCATCGTGACGTCACTGCAATTTTTGTCTATAACACTTCCTGGAATATCTGCATACCGAGATTGAACCCAATCGGACCTCAGGTTCTCTAGATATAGTGACTTAAACTATGCAGATTTAGGATGATGTCAAGTGACACGTGATGACGTCATGATGACGTCATGATTCGACCTGAATCTTCAGATGGTGGTCTAAGTGTGTGCCAGGTTTGAAGTCGATCGGACCGTATTTTATACATTTTTTGCAAAATTTGATTAAATATTAAAATTTGAAAAATTCATAAAAAATCAGATGATGACGTCATGATGATGTCACTTCAGATTTTGAATGCTGTTATCTATACCTACCTACCCACCAAGTTTCATAACGATCGGACATACCCTTATATGTGAATCAAAAAATCACGTTTTTGATGACGTCATGATGACGTCACACATTTTACGAAATTTTGTGCATCTATCTATGACCTAACAAACCTGTTACAAAAAGAATTTCGAATTTACCACATTCCGTTCATGAGATATGAGTAAAAGGTCCAAAAATTAAATAATTTATATAAAATCACACGATGACGTCATCATGACGTCACTGCAATTTTCGTCTATAACATGTCCCGGAACACTTGCATACCAAGTTTGAACCAAATCGGACTTCCGGTTCTGTAGATATAGGGCCTTAAAGTATGCTCCTTAAGGATGACGTCACGTGACACGTGATGACGTCATGATGACGAAAAGTTTCGGCATACATCTTCAGATGTTGTTCTAAGTGTGTGCCAGGTTTGAAGTCGATCGGATTTGAAAAAAGTCCAAAAGTGCCTTGTAGAACGAAAACACGTGTTATCCTATGGGAAAAAAAGTGGAAGAAAAAAAAAAAAACTAGAAATGTGTTTGTGGACAAACACTGAGCTGTTTCGACAGTTTTATTAATGACTGCCGTAAAGGAGTTTCATCCAGGTCGAATGAACATGTACATGCGTTTTCTGTACAAAAAGTATCTATCCTACGCCCTGACTATGCATGAACATAAAATCTGTCAAAGTTAGCCGGAAATCAGCTAAAACGGTCACTGTGGACAGGATTTGACCTCAGCAACACTCGCCCTGCGCGCGGGCTGACTGACATACGATATGTACAACGTACGTGCATGTACATGTACATTGTGGACTGTGCATGTTTGAAAGCAGAGTTATTGTCAACCTGAAGTTTTAAGCGTGCGCAGGGCATGTCCGAGTTTGTTTATTGCCTCGAAGCTTTGAAATATTTTAGACCTACCCTTAAATAGACAATTAAAGTAAAAACTAATATAAAAACTGCCATGGTTGATTTTTCAGGAATTTTTTAAGGAAAAAAGGGTCTTTTCATTATAACTTCCAATCTGATGACGTCATACACCTTAAACTTCGCACACGTCTTAAGTGGGTCAAGGTCATCATATACACCAATATTTAGGCGATTCCGACAAACTTCGCCACAGACATCTATTCAAAATACATTTTTGAAAATTTTCAACCTGTCGCTAGAGGGCGCTCGAAGATTGCATGACGTCATCGGTAAATGATTTGAAGAATACTATCAGCCAAGAGACTAACACAGTTAAAAGCAAGTTCATATCTATTACCACTTTTAAATAATAAGCCACTTCCGGTTTTGGCCTTTTTCGACCGGAAGCAAGGGTCACATGATTTTACGCACACTAGATGAAATAAAGATCTCAACCTACTCTACCACTTGCCGGCAACAGAATGCTGCAGACGCGTACGGTTGATTTCTTGTGCATTTATAAATATTAAAATTGTCACAATTTAATTGCCTATAAATAAACACCGGATGACGTCATCATGACGTCATCATTACACAATGTTGTTTGAATTAGAGTCTTTGCTTGGACAAAGATTGGTGTAAATGAATTACTGGCAAAGTGTGGAAAATGCCCTCTGAAAATTGACTTTTTTTTTTAAATTTCTGTGTACAAAGTCTATGGGAAAAATTAAATATTCAAAATTCTATAATAAATCACGTGATGACGTCAGCATGACGAAAAGTTTCGGCACACATCTTCAGATGGTGGTCTAAGTGTGTGCCAGGTTTGAAGTCGATCGGATTTGAAAAAAAGCCAAAAGTGACTTGTAGAACGAAAACACGTGTTATCCTATAAGAAAAAAGTCTGAAAAATAAAAGAGAAAAAAAAAAATAACAGAAACTAGAACTATGTGGTTGTGAGTGAACAACCACAGAGCTTTTCCTAACATGTTTTTGATTGTCTATTGCAGAGTACAAAATGATTCAATGATTTGTTCTAAACAAATTTTACTATTAAATTGAAATTATAATATGAATCGGTGATGGTCTTGTTCGGGACACATTTTCCGAAGAGAAGCTGGTTGGGTTCTGAAAACATAAAATTGAAAATATATCTTTGGGAACAGGTCTGTTTGTACAAAATATAGACATATAAGTAGAGATCTGTGTCTGTTTGCAACAGACGATAGGGCTTTTCCGTATTATGATATGTTATCATCAATAATACGTCCCTGACTATGCATGAACATAAAATCTGTCAAAGCTAGCCGGAAATCGGCTAAAACGGTCACTGTAGACAGGATTTGACCTCAGCAACTCGTGCGCTGCGCGCGGGCTGACTGACATACGATATGTACAACGTACGTGCATGTACATGTACATGTAC